AGTAGTAGTAGTAGTAGTACCAAAACTTCCACCATCACCACCACAGCCAACAACAACAACAGCAACACAACAACATCATTAACACTATCGCCACCACCACCACCAACAACATCAACAACAATAAAAACAACGACAACAACCACCACCACCACCACTAACAACAACAACAACATTAACAACAATATCTACAGCAACAAAGTCAACAACAACAACAACAACAACAACAACAACAACAACAACAACAACATCACCAACAGCACAACAATCGGGAAATCATCAGGCAAAAATGTTCTCCGCAATAACCATCACCAACGACAACAAAAACAGCAGCACCGACAACAACAACAATACAACAACCACCACCACCACCACGAACAACAACAGCAACCTCTACAACAACAACCACAACGACAACAACAACAAAAACAACAACAACAACAACACTAGCAGGAACTCACCAGGCAAGATGATCTCCTAATTAACCACCACCACCACTACCAACAACAACAAGAACAACAACACTCTCACCACTACCACAACCACAACCACAACCACAACCACCACCATCACCATCACCACCACCACCAACAACAACCGGAACAACAACAACGACAACAACAACAACAACCATAATAACAATAAGAACAACAACAACAATAACAGCAACAGCAACATCATCACTACCACAACCACAACCACCAGCACCACCACCACCACCACCACCAACAACAACAACAACGACACCATCACCACTACCACAACCACACCACCACCACCACCACTTCCACCACCACTACCAACAACAACAACAACAACAATAACCTCAACAACAACAATTACATTAACACCACTATCAACAACAACAACAACAACAACAACAACAACACGACAACAACCACCACCACCACCACCACCACCACCAACAACAACAACAGCAACGACAACAACAACATCACCACCAACATGGCACTCACCAGGTAAGACGTTCTCCTCATTCACCCTTATCCAGCCATCCCGGTCAGGGCTCTGGTGCTCGTGGATGAAGCCTATGGCGTGACCCAACTCGTGCACGCACTGAGCCTGCGGGGTGTGGGGGACATTGTGAGGGACATTGTGAGGGACATTGTCAGAGGACATTATAAGGAGAATTGTGAGGGACATTGTGAGGGACATTGTCAGAGGACATTATAAGGAGAATTGGGAGGGACACTGTGAGGGACATTGTCAGAGGGCATTATAAGGAGAATTGTGAGGGACATTGTGAGGGACATTGTCAGAGGACATTATAAGGAGAATTGGGAGGGACATTGTGAGGGACATTGTCAGAGGACATTATAAGGAGAATTGTGAGGGACATTGTGAGGGACATTGTCAGAAGACATCGTGAAGGGCAATGTTAGGCCCATTGTGAGTGGAAGTGTGATGGAGATGGTGAGGGGCATTGTGAGTGAAAATGCGAAGGGCCATTGTTAGGGGTTATGTGAAAGACAGATTTGCAACGGACATTGTGAGGGGCATTGTGAATGATATCGTTATGGACAATGTGAGGAGCATTATCAGAAGTCATTGTTGTGAGGCTGTGATAGGGACATCTTTATGGACTTTATGAGGGGGATATTATCAGGGGGGACATTGTGATGCACACACGAAAACATATACACACTCACAAAACACACATACACACACACAAACACACGAGAACATAAACACACAAGCACACATACACACAAAAAAACACACACATAAGCACACACACAAGCACACACACAAACACACACACACACACACACACACACACACACACACACACACACACACACGTACATATGCACACACACACACATACACACACGCACACATATGTATTAACGAAAGGTGACACAATGTCTCTTACTCTCTCACTATCTATCTATCTATCTAT